TTTTTTTTAATGTGACATCTGTGCAAGCTAATCTCTCTGATGTGTATCCTCTACTTGGATGAGATACAATTTATCCTTCCTTATCTTTTTCTCCTCTTTCCTCACGGTTTAAAAGCACAGATGGATCGCCCGCCTCGACGCCATCATAACTCTGGAGGGAGTTCAATCTAACTCGAGTCAGTCGCAGTTGTGTTTTGCGCTCAGCGGATGAACGAGTGCGTTGAAGTAAAACAGACGGAGAGCAGATTCTGTGAAACGTGCAGATTGTAAAACTTCCTGAGCGCTGATGCTCTTTGTGACTAATTAAGGGGAAACGTTTTGTTGCGTACAGTTGCAGGGGAAAGTTTTTGGTGAGATGTTTTTGCATAAATAGGAACTAAAAAAATCAATTCAGTGTTTACCAGATATACGTAGACATAAGTTAACAGCTGCCAAAATGATCCAGAAGAATGCCAACCTTGCTCAGTTTAGAAGTGGACAGGTTCCTTGCTCTTATTTTGAAATGTCAGCTAGCCCCAGCTCTTCCTGTTCCTTGTTTTTCTGTCAGCTGGCTATCCTTCTGCTGCTTCTTCGGTGAGTCTGTCGTGTAAAGATCGTACAGACTCCAGCTCCGCCATCTTTGAGCTGAAGAGTAGCTCCAACCAGAAGTTGCAGCAGGTGGAGAACAAAACACCATGAGGGTGGAGTCTGCTGGAGGGGAAAGGCTCATGGAAAGGCCGCTACTGATCCACAAAAAATAGAAGCATCTTATTTTGTTAATTGAAATAGTTTTTTTTATTTTTGAATATTGAATTGATAAAATTATGCCTGCACATATACAATAGGTGAATATTACAACTGACAGAATCTATATCTGTCCTGAAAGTGTGAGACTAATAAAATGTAACCCAGTAAGTTATATTTTGATCACGTTGAGCTGATGTTACATATTTACGAGGGCCAAAGAGTGTAAATGTAGGTTTGGTAGTTACAGAGGAGTAGTGGTGCTCAAAGCTACCAGGACAAAGTCGAGCTCTGCAGAATTTTTAGTTCTTAGAAGTTTTTGCTGAAGATCAAAAAGCCAGAAGACAAAGTTTTTTGTGACTGGATGACATATAAACGTAACTTTCTGTCCTTTTTGAGCTTTTTATTTGGAGGAAGTGACGCAAATCACATGATGCTTTAGGTCGTCTTTTATTCTGAAAGGACTGAAACGTTTTCCTGCAGCTGTATGACACCATGTCGCGCTAAATTGAACTCCATCCATTGTTATGGACACGATCTACTAATAAATGAATGATGACATCAGTTTCATTCCCAATATTACAGCAAAATATTGGATGTTGATGGTGCATGATCAGGAGTTTTATAACCACTCATTCTGCACATGTATACACTAAATATCAAGCTGACAGTTATTGTGTAAAGCTGTGTATTGTTTCTTTTTTATGTCTAGTTTCATCACCAAGAAGGCTTCGCACCAAAGTCCTGAGCCCCACCAAGCTGCACGTGTCTTGGAAAGAACCCAAAGGACAGTTTGAAAGCTACAAAGTCGTTTACACCACACGACCAGGTAAGAACTGATCCTGAGTCTGTGCCTACACCGTCTCCAGCTCTTATTAGCAGCTTCATCATTAAAAAGAGGGAAATTGGTCTGACGGTGACTGTCGCATTTAGTTGTGTTTAGTTTGTTGGTTTTTCGGTGGCAGTCAGACTTAAAGCTGCTTACAAAATCACACACGATTAGTTTTTCTGCCACAGTGTGGTTAGTTTAGATGATGGCTGTGCTGTGAGTTTAACAATCGCTTGCGGAGCCACAGAATGCGTCTTTTGTCTCTCGGCCCTGCTGTGAGCTGCTCGCAGAGAGAAATCTGTCCCTGTGCTGACCTCCGGTGTGGCGCAGCGAGGGCCGTAAACTTTTCTCTACACTCTAAGTTGCTACACGTAGTGAGAAATTTGCTAAGTTGGGAGAGACGATGTAACTCAAGTGTGACATGATGACTGCTGTGAGAGTGGGATTTCAGACTTTGTCTACATCCGTGCTTCATCATTTGCAAAAATCAAACAAAATGAATAAACTAAATTATTTGAACATGACCGTGCGCCACAGGCTGAGCGCTTCCAGGCTTCACCTTTGCACAGAGCTGCTGCACAGACCTTCCAGTTTAGACTTGATTTGTCCGGGAAATTTGACGAGGAATTCGCAATTTGCCCTCAGTCACACCTCTGTGATGGATCGGCTGTCTCGTGCTTTGCTCAAGGGTCCCTCAGCAGGGCTGGCTGCAGGAAGGCGTGTCATTAAAGACCGATCGCCGTCAGCAGTAAAAAGCTGCAC